ATCATTGTCAGGAATTAATTTATAATGTATGCCTTCACAGATCATTACTAATACATTACATGCTAGCTCATTTTTTTTCCCCCCCTGGAGGCAGACCCTGTTTTATACAAAAATTTCTTTTTCTTTTCATATTAAGAGTAAAAGGCAAAGCAGGTGAAAAGTTTTAAAAAGTAACAATTTAATACTGAATACTTAGAAATATGGTACATGCAATACCACATTAATACAAAATGCACACAACTGTAAGCTGCTTTTTAATGAACCCTTAACATGGATGGCTGAAAGCTTTCAACACATGAGTTTTGACAGTTACCAGTTTTGATTTTTTGGGGGGTTCATTTAAACATAATTTAATCATGCAAACAGGAAGTTTAAAAAAATAAATATGACAAATATATGGATTTTTGAAGTATAAATTGACATACAAATCTATATATTCTTAATATTTTTTATTAAAGCATCTTTAAAGATGCATTCTATAACGTGAAGTTGAGAACCTAAATTAGATATAAAGAACAGGCATGAGGATTTATTAGAATTGTGTAATTCACATACCAAATATTTACATAACAGTAAACACAAAGTTGTTAAAATAACATATTTAGTTATTTCAGTCTCTAAGTCATCAACTTCTGAAAATTTCTCTCTAGGAACTGGGCAAGGAGGAGGTGCACACCTGTAATCCCAGTTACACAGGAAGCTGGGGCAGAAGGATCACTTGAGCCTGTTAGTTCAAACCTGTCAGAGCAATACAGTAAGACCCAGCCTTAAAAAAGGATTAGGGTTTGGGGAAGCTACTCTCTAGACCAATTAGAAATTTCCAACTTCAAGTGTCTTAAGGAAACAAAGCTATAGACTAAATTCAGAACCTGACTTAACCTCCCGAGAAGCAGTGGAGGAATAATGGAACACTGCTCCTTGGAGATTGTCGAAGCCAGCTAGAGAATTACAATGCCATCCTTCTATCTGCACACAGACCTGTGACAAGTCTTCGTTCCTAAATTTAGATGTCTGAAGTCCTGAACCATAGGATCGTGAACTGGGCTTAAAAACGTTCACATCATCATTTCCTTAAAAAAAAAAAAAAAGGCGGCTCTGAGGTGATTAGGGGAGTATTGTAATTGAATTTGAGGTTATAGATAAAAAAATAATCTGTCATATAAACAAACTTGCTGGAACTTAAGATTTTAAGTTTCAAGGAATAAATACTATTTAGGATATATTCCTTACTGAAATACATGATTCTAAATGCTAATTAGGTTATAGTACTGATTTGAAAAAGTTAACATGGGGGAAACAAAGGGACTTTCCTTAACTACTTTAGAGCAGCAGCCCTTATGTCGAACTACAACTGAGAATCGCTCAGGGCAGTTTTGGAGAAACTGAAGCATGGGTCCATCTCCCTCAAATTATATTCAATTGCTATGGTATGGATGGGAAAGTGCAGGCGAGTCTAGTATGAAGTGAGGGTTGAGCATCATTGATTGGTAATAACAATTAGTAATCAGAATTGATTTATATTAAAATATAATTAATATAAATTAAAAAGAGTACTTCCTTTGTGACAGACATGATTCTAAATGCTAGCAAGAGAATGTTGATCTATAAAAGATTAATATTTATCCTGCTCACTTAAATAGCTAGATAAATTTACTAAAATATTCTTCAAATTTTCATTATGTCTGCTATCATGAAAAATTTCCCTTTACATTACTGAACTGTCCTCTATTTGAAATCATTAACTGTAGAAATTACACTCAGAAACTTTTTCTAAAGATATATGGAAAGAACACAGCAATTTCATTTTCGAGTCATAGTATGTGAGGTACTCTCCACTTTATATCTGAAGTCACAAAGCCATACTCTAAGAAATGAAATGAGATACTGCTGTAATGGTTAGCAATATTTTCAGGATCAAGAATTAACATCCACTGGAATCAGTGCTTGTTTTACAATTATCCTTTAAAAAAATTATGCCAGAACCTCTGGAAAGTGGAAAAGAGTGGGTCTTGACTGCAAACCGTTTCCTGTGACCTACTTATAAAACAAGTCTTAAAAAAATTACAGAAATATGGTTTCTGAAAATAATACAATTAGATATTACTTTCCCAGAATATTTTGAGCTTTAGTATTTCAAATTAAGACTAATTTTATTAGGTATTAAAAAAGCTTATTGGGCACTTGGGAGGCAGAGGCAGGCGGATCTTTGTGAACTTGAGGTCAGCCTGGTCTACATAGTGAGTTCCAGGACAGCTGGGGCTACAGGGAGACCCTGTCTCAAAAAGACAAAATAAAAATAAAAATAAAAATAAAAAAGCTTATTGGAAATATATTTTAACTCCAGAAAAAATTTAAAGTTTGACCTGAATTTACTTTTATTCTAACCTTTTTTTTTCCTTCAGATTTAAAGTCACCAAAACTAAAGGATAAATTTATTGATACTATATCAAAATAATCTTTATAACTGGACAATGGTTCAAACGGATAATTTTGCTTAAATCATAATACATGCACATATATACTAATATTTTACACTTGAAAAAAATAGCTTTACAATTTTTTATGAAAGCTCAGTAGTCAAAATAAATATTTAATAAAAATGTATACTATAAACTGGACATGGTGGCACATGCCTTTAATCACAGCACTGTGAAGGCAGAGAGATCTCTGTGAGTTCAAGACCACTGTGGTCTATATAGTGAGTTCCAGCCTACATGGTGAACCCCTCTACCAAAATACATATATATATATATGCATATATATATTACATATATCATAGGACATTAAGAATTTAGTGTTTAAAACAAAGTCACATTGTTTTGTATTCAGTTAAACAGAATTATATAGTGGCTTAGGTATCTAAGAATGATTAAGGTGTGTCTTTGGAAACAGAAAATTGATTTAAAGTTAAGACCAGAAAGACTAAGATGAAGGAGAAGATTACTATATTTACTTCAAAGTTTAGAGTGACTGGGACTTCTCAGTCTAACTACAATGCCAAGAAATGGAACAGTTTGGAGAGCCAAAGTCAAAGAAATAATCATGATTATGAAGTTTGGGATAATCTCAGTGTAAAAAAAGAAAACAGTACTCATGAGCACCACTAGAAATGTGTATAAAATTTTTCCTGCCTAACCATTATATTTTAGAGGGAATTTAAGGGCAAGTATGAAGTTATGAAAATTCATCCTTAAGCTAATGTAAGTGTTGTATGATTTATTTTAAAGTGTTTCAACCACCATTCCTTCTAAATATCAACCAAAGAACACATTAAAAAAACCAGTACTAGCCAGGCGTAGTGGTGCACGCCTTTAATCCCAGCACTCGGGAGACAGAGACAGGTGGATCCTCTCTGAGTTCGAGGCCAGCCTGGTCTACAGAGTTCCAGGCAGCTGGAGCTACAGGGAGATCTCAAAAAGACCAAAAAAAAAAAGAAAAAACAAAACAAAACAAAAAACAAAAAACCCAAAAAATCCAAAAAGAAGAAAAAAAACAAAAACAAACAAAACCCAGTACTTACTTGTAGTGTTTGGGGCTTGTAAGGGACTTTAGTCCCTTGGTTTAAAATAATTGAAGAAAAAAAATGTGCTCAATAATTACCAATCCGTTGCCAATTCTAAAAGGCAAAGAAAAAAGACTACTAAATAGGAATTCACACACACACACACAAAAACCCAGTACATGTTGAATTTGTCCCAAAGGGATCATCCCTCATGCCTCACATTATTTTAACTCAGATTGGTAGATTATTTTGCCAAAAACAAACAAAAAAACCCCATTGCTTATTCTATAATTAATGTTTCATGTTTGCCATCTGGATTTTGAGATTTCTCCTATATTTACCCAAATTAAAATTTATGCCATATCTTATAAAATACATATCCTGGGGCAAGACAGGTATTTAATAAAAATCTTGCTTTGATCCTCTGTAGAGGCAGTCTCTGATAAACTATTACATATTTTTCAGAGCTTTCAGTACAAGAAAATACATGATAAGAGTGAAGGTCTTTGACACCATTGTCATATGATAAGGAATAACATTATTCTCCATTTAAAATGCGTTCAATCTCTTCTAGCCTTTTTAAAGCAGCAACTCTTTTCTTCTCAATTTCTTTTATGTCTTTTGTTGTTTTATGAGGAGTCTCTTTGTCTTCATGTTTTACTAACTGTTTGCTGGATTTAGAGTTTTTATGATCACTCGTCTGTATTATTTGTGCTGGTCTGGATTCACTTCTGGTTTCTTGTTCATTCTCAGTGGGATTTTTGTCTCGTTCTTCTCCACCTGAAGTTTTATCAGCTAAGGATACCGGCTGCTCTGCTACAGCAGATGAGGCTATTTTATCCCTGACTATACTTAAATGGCGCTGAATATATTCCTCATGTGGTGCTAATGCCAATGTTTCAACCAGACATCTTTCAGCTTTTAGTAAGTCCTTCTCTTCAAAATATACAACACAAAGATTGTGCTTTCCTTGCACGTTGCTTGGATCCATTTCCAGTATCTTTTCAAAACATTTTTTGGCTCCAAGTATATCTTTCTTTTGGTTCATCAGAATGTCTCCTTTTAAAATAAGACCTTTGATATGATCAGGGTAATACCTGAGTAACTCTTCTAAAATCGGCAAAGCCTTTAATTCCTTCGCAGTCTGAGAATACAGGAGAGCCAGATTAAACAAAGCACTTCTGAAGTCAGCTTGCAGTTTTATGGCTTTCTTCATCCAAATCTCTGCTTCTGTATCTTTTTTGTCATCCATGGCAAGCATTCCCAAATTGAAATAGCCATTAGCATCTTGTGGCTCTTCATTTACATAGTTTAGAAGTCTTTTTCGAGCTTCAGGTCTGAGTTTCACCTCACCTAAGAATGGTTTTATTTGAAGAAAAAAAAATATCACCCAATTAACCATTTTCAGGTATTTTGTTATTAAAAAAAAAAACAAACACCTTATTTCTGTATATAAATAATAAAGCAGAAAACAAAAGCATCTTTCTTCATAGGAAAGCCAATGTGTCTGAAACACTGAAATAAGTTTATTTCCTTTGTAAGCAGTACTCCAGGAAAAAAAAGGAGACATTTCTTTGTAGTTTAGAATCTAATACAGAACAGGAAGAATAGAGAAATGAGTATAAGACATTGTATATATTTCTCAAGACATGTAATCCAATCTCAGTTCTGTTAGTATTTTGAGTTTATATGCCAAACAGATTATTTTCTCTGGGTTAACTTACTGAATTTTCTAAGAATTGTATGTATATTTGTATGTATAAATACTGTAATATATATAAAAGGACAGCACTATAACTACAACCGGCTAAGTAATGTTTCAGAATAACTAAGTCAGATTTTTAGTATACCATCTCAAAAATTTTAGGAAGTTTCCAGGGCAGAAATATACTACTATATTTAAAACCATAAAATTAGGATTTGAAAAACAAATACTGAAATAAGTTTATAAAAGTCTTTTTGAGACAGGGTCTCCCTGTAGCCCCAGCTGTCCTGGAACTCACTATGTAGACCAGGCTGGACTTGAACTCACAGAGATCCACCTGCCTCTGCCTCCCAAGTGGTGGGACTACAGGCGTGTGCCACCAGGCCCAGCTTCATTATTTTTATGAACATATTGCATGTAAGGGCACCCTTGTTGTACAATGCCTGCAGAAGTCAGAAGAGGGCACTGGGTGCCCTGAAACTGGAGTTATAGATGGTTGTGACCCACCATGTGGGTGTTTGGGTCCTATGCAAGAGCAGTCAGTGCTCTTAACCCCTGAGCCATCTCTCCGGCCCCAGAAATAATTTTTAAATTTTTTAAAAAAGTCTTGTTATCTCGTTAACATTAGATTGAAAACTATTGTTGGATAATGAGTAGTTTTCATAATTATTAAGATTAGTTGTGGTGTACACATTTAGACACAGCACTGGGGAGCCAGAGGCAGGTGGATCTCTGTGAGTTTGAGGCCAGTCTGTCTTATATAACAAGTTCCAGTCCAGGCAGGGCTATACAATGAGACCCTATCTCAAAAAACAAACAAACAACAACAAAAACAAAAAAAAGATAAACTTTCAAAAAATTAACTTTTTTCTAAATTTATATTTTTTAGAATATTAAGTATAAAGACCTCTTTATATTTTTTTGACAGCATGATTAATAAAGGTCATTTGAAAATAAATCAGTAGCTTCAGCTCTTAGCTTTGATGTCTACAGTAGCCCTATAAGTTTGGAGTACTCATTAGATCTTTGTGACATCACTCTAATCTATCAAATAGAAGACTCATGAACGTAAAGGCAAAGATCTTAAGCTAAAAACCATTTTATTCTTTTATTTTTGCTAGTTAAAAAAATTTAGCAAAGAAATAATTAGAATGTATAGCGATCTTTTTCAATATAAAAATTAAGACTATAAATCTTTCATGCTGCCTTGTGAAGGAAAATTATTATTTCTATGTAAAATATTGATAAGAGGCTCAGATTTATTCTGAATGATAACTTAGTTTGCTAAATTATAGGAAATTAAGAAATTATAATATATTTAAAATAACATTAGATGTAAAAAGATACAAAGCATTTTTTAAGTCACAGTGAAATAAAAAGTCATTTTTAAATTAAATACGATAATGCTATTGGATCTTTAGAGATAGTTATGGGAAAATTCCTACAATTTCCATATTATTTGGATTTTGTTTTGACTATACAAGTTTTTATTATGTTTACATGTAGAAAGTAACATGGTAGACTAATTAGGTATTGCTTAATATGGTATTTGAAAAATTAGTTTTAACACATGGTAGAAAAATGAATAGTATTGGCAAATATATTTGTTCATGTAATTTGAAAAGTTTAAGTATTCTGAATATTCTTATTGTAAGATGTTTTATGAACACTAATCTATTATAAACTGCCTGTCCATAAAATGGGTTTGTATAGGTTTTACAATATTCTAAACTGTACAGAAATATTTGAGAAAACTTACCCGATTCCTGCATTAAGATAGCAGAATTGAACAGTGCTAGCTTATGTTTTGGATTTAGTTCTAAAGCATGATTAAAATTTTTTAGGGCTTCATTTGGTTCTTTAAGTTCAATATAAACAATAGCCAAGTTGTACCAAAGATCTGCATTATTTCTGTCCAGCTCTAGTGCTTTAAGATATGCTTCCTTTGCTTTGAGAGGTTTATTCATTTTTAAAAGCAATTCTCCCCTGTGGAAAAATCAGACAAAGCTTACTTGCAACAACATTACTATGTCACTTTATAGACATCACTGTAGATTAGATTTAAGCCTTTCCCCACATGGCGTTTGTTCTTTTATGTTTATATTCTTAAAATGTCCCTTTTATGGCTAGAGAGATTGCTCAGTGGTTAAGAGTGCTTGCTACTCTTGTAGAGGATCAGAGCCTGAATCCCAGTACCCACACAGATGGCTCATAATTGCCCCTAACTATAGCTCCACAGGAATCCAACACCATAACCAGACACAGACATATATACATACATATAAATAAAAATCATAAAATAAATCTTTAAAAAAAATCTCTTAAAAATCACTTTGTGAAACTAGCCTCAAATCTGGTTTGACATATTTTCACATATTTTACAAGAAAAAGAACACATCTGACTTTGGATTGTATCTGTTGAGAAGTAAGAAAGGGTGAAAGAGGAAATCTGTAGTTGTATAATCTTTTGTTATTTTTGAGGCAGGGTCTCTCTGTAGTCACAGCTAGTCTGGAACTCCCTATGAAAACTAGGCTGGTTTCAGTATCAGACAGATCCCTGGGTTGCCTCCTGAGTGCTGGGATTAAAAGTGTATGCCACAACACCCAGCTTGTTCTTGGAAATTTCTTAAAAGGAGACAGACTGTATGGGGTGGCGGGGGTGGGGGACTAATCACAATGTTAGATCAGTGAATCTGTCCATCGATGAGAGTGTATCACTTCAAAAAAATAAATACAGTAGTTAACTGAGATTTTGAAGTCTTCAAATCTAGGATACAAATCTCCCAGTAAAAATACGTATTTTGGTATTTGTGATCATTTTTCTTTCTTATGTTACCTTAGTCTCCTTTGAAGTATTCTTACACAGTTTGGTTAGGTAGGGTAGGAGGGCACTAGTGCCACCTACAGGTAGTTTTGATGAACAGATTTAGATTTGATCAACTGGAAAACTTTAGCATTTTCCCAATATAGTTCTACTTTGTGTCTGAGAAATTTCAAGTCATTTTGCTTAAAATTAGTAAGCTATTTTTACTAATACAAATATATCAACTTTTAGGAATAAGACCAGTATTGAAACTACTGAGACATTCTTATGAGCACTGAAAATCAAATTCCTAGTTTAGGAATAGACATCTCAAAAAAGTTAAATTCTGAATATACTTCTCCAATAGAAAGTGTTTAAAAATTATGATTAGCTTAATAGCCAAGATACAGCACAACTCTTAACATGCATTTTCCCTTAGGTAAACAAATTATAACATTTATATGAGAAAAATATTAAAAAACTTTTATATGGTATTGACAACCCACCTCCATCTCATATATATGGGATATATATATATAAAACAAAGAAGCCTGTATTGTGGCAAAGGCTTCAACAGTAAAACAACCTCCAAATTTTATTTATGTAAGCTTTTGAGAGTTAGAAAATATAAGTAACTAGCATAAAAAGTAACCTTCAGGTGTCTTCCATAGAAAAGGAAGCAAACAAAACAAAGGAGTGGTTTCTAGATCTCTTTCATATATAATCTACTTTGGCTATTGCAAAGAGTCCCTGGTCAATTTCAAATCACTAAGTTTGATTGCCAATCTAAACAAGGCACACTCTTCCATGTATTTGGTTGTCAGTACTAAAAGAAAACCGTAACAATTTAGTGGAAATGTACATGCAAATACAGCGTGAAAACTCCAAAGTGAACTACCTGCTGATATAAGCCTGCTTAAAGTCTGGCCTCATGCTTATTGCCTGTCGGTACAGCTGATCTGCTTCTTCCAGGCGGGATTCATTTGCTCGGATGAGGTTGGCCAGATTGATATAAACATTTAGGTGGTTAGGGGCAATTCTGGCTGCATATTTTTTACCGGGAATAATCTGTTTAGAAGGAAAGAATGTTTGAGATTTCAGAATCAAGTAAAAATAAAATGGTTTCCTAGTGGCTCATTTCATGTAACATAAAATTCAAGATTTTCCTGCTAGTTTTACTACTGCAGCAAAATATATCATAAAAATATGAAAAGCTGGACTCTAGATTGATGGATTCAGGATTTGTATTTTGATAGCTGCTGGAGTACTTAGAATCAGTGTCACTTCCCTCTCAAAGGCTTCTAAATAAGGGGAGAAAACAAATTTATCCATTATTTTAGAACAATAGATGGCTGTCTCCCTTAGCTACACGTGGGCACTACAGTATTGGAAACCACGATTTGAAGTCTTACATCTGAGAAGCACTTTCTGGTTAGGAACAAAATAATCAATGAGAAATAATTGTCTAAATAACTTTTTATATAGACTTAAGCCTAATGCCTGGGAAGTGTAATCCCTTGATCGCTTAAAGAAATATACCGATGATTTTATTCTTTGGTTATACTTCCCTTTTGGGTGTCTGAGACCATACAGTTGGCCCAAATAAATTATTTCTACACTTAAGGTCATTTGAAGATTTGTTCCTCAGGAGTCACTTGGGCTTTGGAGGAGCTCCTGGCTCCTTTCTTTTACCAGTTTAATCTATGTGTAGATAAGTCAAAGGTCCTGTTCGACCATGTCTGGTTTCACTTGGAAGCATGCTGTTCGACCATGTCTGGCTTCACTTGGAAGCATGAGTAAGCTGCTTCCTCTAGTTGACCCTCCTCTTTGTAGACTGGATGCTGGTTCAAGTCCATCTTGTGGGGTCTCCATGTCCTCCCTGAACAAGAGGACAGGTGACTCACCACATATAACAGGACATTTTGAGAGATGTTCCCTAGTCCCCTGGAACTTGGTTGACCTTGGAGGGCAAGGAGCAAAAACTGTCCTTTAAGTCCCTCTGACCACATTAGTATAGGCCTTAAAGGATGGCTGTTAAACATCTAACAAGGTTAGTTCCACCAGTCTGATACTTTTAATTTTCATGTGCTATGTAGATAAGGCTTAGGTAAAAAACCAAATATTCTCAGATAAACCTTGAGCAGATGTACATTTTGTTCCTTAAACTAGTTGACTAAACTATGACCTTAGAAATTTTAAGAACATTAACTAGATTTATATTTTGTTCCTTAAACTAGTTGACTAAACTATGACCTTAGAAATTTTAAGATTATGTGTGTTACTTTTGTATCATCCTTTACATATATAACAAACCTACACAGACCTTCATCACTTGTTTAGGCTTTCTCATTTTTTCTATTTTGGAAAACATTTCCATTCCTGTATCTTTTTAACATCTTTTACATCCTCATTTTCTTTCTTTCTTTCTTTTTTTGTAAAAAAATAATTATGAGACATAATAGCAGTAACAAATAAATTTTCCATCTGTCATGAGAATTCTTTTCCTGGGGATACTAAGCAATACTTATTCTCTTTTAAGGTTTGTATAGGTTTGATCCTGAATCCATCACTCTAGAGTCCAGCTTACCTAGATAACTGAAAATTGAGGAAGAACCTAATAGAGGGATGCTTTTGGAAGCCCTTGTCAAGAAATTCCAATGGACTCTCATATGAACATTTGAAAATTGCTCTGTTCTTTTTTTTAGTTCCCTGTCTAGACCTTGTAATGCTAATTACTCTTGCCTTTACTTCTTCACATCTCCTATTCATGATTCAAAGACTTTCTTTTCCTCC